TGCAGTTCTAGGCACAGCCAAGATACTGGAGGGAAGGGAAGAGAGAGAGAGAGAGAGAGAGAGAGAGAGAGAGAGAGAGAGAGAGAGCGCACCAGTGGAGGGTGAGAAGGGAACTAATTATTATTTTCTTATGTGCGTTTGTGTAAACAAATGTGAGGGGGTTCAAACACGTTTTAAAATTAATATAAAAGCCCAATAAAAGAGGGAAAAGAAATTTCAATCTTAAGGCGATGTAAGAAATTCAAATTTAAATATGTAAGGCTTCCTGTGCTTACCTGTTACAAAGCATGTTAGGAAAAAATACTCTATTTAGATTCATATGACACTAAAATTCATTAAATTAATTTGTTTATATTTTTACATTATTTAACCTTTACTTCACCACGAAAATACCAGAGGTAAAAAAAAAAAATCTCTTTTGCAGAGAATCCAGGTTAGACTGGCAGCAGCATGGAGGTTACAGAACATTCACAGCAAACAGAAAACGCTAACATGACGAAGCCTTCAGATTCACGCATTTCTGCATAAATTAGGATTATTCCAGCATAGGTTACTACTATTTTTTCCGTTTCTAAAATGTAATTACACACATTAAAGGTCTTCTAAATATTTTTTGCCTCCAACAAGACAAATAAGATCCAGAATGTTTACCAACGTTAACATCGCTAATGCTAATGCTAATGCTAATGCCAGCTTGCTAGCTTAATCTTTTCCAACGGCAGCAATCAGGAAGTCTAATTTCTCCTTCAGAACTGTCCCAGTCTGGTTCAGAAGGAGAACTGGAAGTAAATTACAGGCAATAAAACATTTCTTCGTGTACTTACTTGGACTCTTCGGGGTTTGTGCCGCTGAAACACTCTCGCCTTCAGCCGTTTCAAGATGGCGGCACCGCGTTTATTATTAATGGAGTGGAAGGAGGTTGGTGGAACAGCAGGTGTTACGCTAACTTCTGCTACCATCAGGGGGCGCTATCACTAAGCGCGACCTAAATACCAATTTTGTATAGTCTTTATACTAAAACAAAACTATTTTATGTAACTTTCTTCATCCTGCAGTTTAAAACCGAAAGATAATTTTCGGTCTGATCAGCTGCATTTCAGTCAGGCATCCTGACAGCCTCCTCAGGGGTCACAACATCTGATGGTCACAAAGTTTGATGGAACACCAAATAAAAACTGGAGTTTCCCACTTCTGTTGGTTTATATGGAAATAAAAATAGTTTTTAGCTTAATCTCTAAGGCCTCATTTATGTTTGAATTGGAAAAAATAACAGAGGATCAGGATTATGAATGTTTTGATTAATAAATGCATGTTATATGTTATAATTGTGTACAGTATAGTATTAATGCTAATTTTGTTTTTTGTATGTATTTTAAATACTCCCTGGCCTTCTGTGTGACCTATATATGCTGCTGCTGCAGTTACACCTGAATTACTCCGCTGTGGGACATTAAGGACGTTTTCTGTTCCGTTTTATCCGACTGCTGCAGGAAATCTTTGGCCCAAGAGATCTAGTATCAAAAAAGCATTTTTGAATTGAAAAGAAAAAGTGCAACAACACTCAGGAGTTCATCTTTAATGTCACCAACAGTCTTGTTATCATGAATAAATATTTTAATAAAAATAAAAACCAAGAATAACATTTTAAAATATCCCATGCTGTATGAAACTGAAACTAAACATAAGCTAAAAAATATGAAAGAGGAAAGCATCATACTGTAAATGTGTTTTTCTGCTTGTTTGCAGCAGATTTCAGAAGGAGAAACATTCCCAGAGGTCCGACTCGGCTGCAATCCCTGGAGCCTGGAAGACGGAGCGACTGAGTTCTCCAGAACCGGGTCGACCGGAGTTCGGAGCAGAACTGCAGCGGTTCATCCAGCAGAGCCGCGTTCGGTCCAGAGTTCTGCTCGGCTCCATGGGAAACATGAACACGGAAAACAAAAACCTACAGGAAATAAACTGGTGGTCCAAACGTGTCACTTCCTGTTGTCAGGAGAAGTCAGCGTAAGGCAGCCAATCAGAGTCCAGCTCTCAGGTCCGCCTCCTCTTGGCGCCTCCCGGACTCGCCGGGTTGGAAGACGACAGCAGTTTCTCTGTGGCTCGACTCCTCTTCCTCTTCTCCGCCTCCTTTGCTCCTCCTCCTCCTCCTCCTGCTGCTGCTGCTGCTGCTTCACCTCCACCCTTCTCCTTGTCACGCTCCTTCTCTTTTTCCCGACTGCCGCTCGTTCGCTCCGACATCTTCATAGAAGAGTTACTTCCTGTGGGAGAAATGGGAAAACTGAGTTAGCATAGGAAAGGATGATCTGCGGAGACGTCCGGATGTCCTGTCCCACTTCCTGTCCCTCACTACTGATAAACCTGCTCTGACGGAACGATCCGGTTAAGGATAATCACTAAAACATTCCTGATTCAGAGAAAATAAATGCAACAGGAAAACGCTGCAACTACAGATGAACCAAAAGTCCTCCGGATCACTAGGGGGAGTCGAAAAACAAATCATGTGAGAGCAGACCCTCAGAAAAGACGTCCAGGAGAAAGTTAGAGGAAGAAAGAAAAGCATCTTCCTTAATCTCACTGTCTTTTAAATTACAGAACAGCAGCATGTTTATGTTGGTAATACTTCCTGCTCCAGACTCCCCCTGGTGGTCGGGAGGACTTCTGTTAGGTGGAGCAAGTTTACAGTATTTTACATTTGCCGTTTGCGGCATTTCTCCTTTTGCTTCGATCTCCTGTGATTGCAGCATTTTGTCAGTAGTCTGTGGTTGCAACGTTTCGTCCGTAGGCATTGCATTTGGTCGAGGCGTTCTGTCCGTCTGTAGTCGTGGCGTTCCTGCCGCAGTTGCAGCGTTTTATATGTAGTTCTAAAGTTCTGTCTGTATTAGCAGCATTTCATCTGTCGTCACAAGACTCGCAACAGTCACTGCAGTCTAGAGACGCCTGATAAAGCACATGTGGCTGAAAACAAAAGCAGGAGAGCTTGACCTTCTTCATGTGTAGCAGGAGGTTCTCTCTCCATCCTGAACTCCTCCTTGGTATCCTCCTCTGAGCCCAGCTTGCCTGCAAACACATCGAGATCATCATTCATCACAACCGGAACATTCCCCCGCCGGGTCCACTGCTGAGGAAGACTCCTCAGGAGTTGAGAGGAAGGACAAGATGGCAGAACAGGAAGAGGACCTTACCTCCTTTCACCTCCTGGATGATCTCCTCTGGCAGCGAGAAACTCTTCTCTGTGTTCGGAAACGGCAGGATCTCCGACTCGTGCTGCTCAACACACAGAACCGGTTCAGAGGAAAACACAGCAAGTGTGTGTTACTGTGTCTGTATGTCTGTGTGTGTGTGTATTATTGTGAGTGTGTGTGTGTATTACTGTGTGTGTGTGTATTACTGTGTGTGTGTATTACTGTGTGTGTGTATTACTGTGTGTGTGTATTTCTGTGAGTGTGTGTGTGTGTGTGTGTATTACTGTGTGTGTGTATTACTGTGAGTGTGTGTGTGTGTGTGTATTACTGTGTGTGTGTATTACTGTGAGTGTGTGTATTACTCCATCTGTGTGCGTACCAGAGCCTGCATGTCGTACATGGTCCCCAGATGGTCCCAGATGACGGAGGAAGAAACCTGCCTGCCGATGTTCTGGCTGAATTTATCCCGGATGCAGATCATGTGGAAGTGGCGGTTCACTCCTGGAAACAGAACCGACCCGTCAGAACCAACAGAACCAACCTGTCAGATGAGTAATTGGATGGATGCCATATTATATATTTGTTTGGAATAAATTCTTAAAATATTTTTTTCTTCTCAAACTTATTTTGCATATTTATTCAGAAAATACAAAACTCAACTTCCAGATTTTTTTTTTACAGAGTGCGGAAGCAACCAGCGACAAACTGGGATCAGACTGACCCAGTTTCTGCTTAAACTGGTCCCAGTATGTCTCGGATGTGGGTTGAACTGATCTGGGTCCGTCTAATGTTCGGGTTAAGCTGGTCTCGGACTGGTTCCGGTGCCAGTTTGGATTCACCAGGTCTCCAGTGGGAGCTGTTAGCACCAGAGCTAGCGTTAGCAGTCTTACCCACTGGTTTGTGCCCGATCATCGCGTGGAAAAGACACACCTCCACTTCGTGGCTCCAGACCACCGAGTCCTCCCCGGGAACCAGAGCCGAGTCCGGGGGCTTCTCCTCGGTCTGACTGAGGGTCACATCTGCCTCCCCCATCTTCAAAAACCAGATAAGAACCGAGTAAAACCGAAAGGCTTTCAAGCCGCGATAATCAGACCGGAACCGGAAGTAGGCAGCTGATTTTCAAAATAAAAACGACTTTGAGCGACCTTAAACTTTAGTTTTTAATCTTGACGGCTTTTCTATTTCTATTCAGACGTCGCTGATATGCTGAATAATTGTTTTGTTCTGACGGCCCAGATTTACGGAGCATTTTTACATTTCCATGAATCAATGAAAATTATTTTTTGAAAATGCTCCATTTTCAGCGGAACTTTTAGCGCATCAAATGCGTTTTAAAGAGTCGCATACTCCTGACGCCTTTATACATTGGCATTTTCTGACAATTTTGTGCACAGGCAAGTGTTTGAACGGCTCAGTTAAAACAATTCAGACATCTACAAATATAATTCTGACTAATCATAAATATATATCTACATATATTCAACTGTAATTGCGGATTTTTGACCTTTCAAATGATGAATCCATTGATTTTAATCAAAAATATAAATTAAGAGATTTTGCTACTCAAACTGAATGCGGACATTTTTTAAATTACCCTTTAGGAAAATCAAAACATTGTGTCCAGTGTCATAGCCTGTTTTCTGTGTCACCTAGGTAACAACACCTAGACCAGGGGTGTCCAAAGTGCAGCACAGGGGCCATTTTTGTCTTTTGGATTGATTTTGTGTGGCCCTCCAACTGCAATTAAAAACATGATAGAAATTTGATCCATCCATCACAGACGGTTGATTTCATTTATCAGGGTGGAATTGTTACGAACATAAAAGTAAAAAAATAAATTAAATAAAAAAAAGTTTCTATAACAAGCAGAAACTTTTTCTGAAAAGCTGACTTTGTTCCATCCAAATGAGCTTTTAATAGAGTTTTTAAACTTGGCTAAATACAGCAACAATAAAAAAAAAAGTGACCCAAGTATTGAAATAAAATTTGAAAATAAATTACAATATTTTTATTATATATTTTTTTAAGTTTTGGATCAATGAATAACTTCCTTTTCCTACAAAAAATGAAATTAAGTGTGAAGCTCAGAGAAAGAGCTTCTCTGCAGGCCTGTCAGCAGGTCAAAGGTCACAGCGTAGCCTGTTTGGAAGAACCGTGGCGTCTACAGTTGTGATTTTAATGCAGTCAGAGAAGCAGACAGACAGAGTTGTGCTTCTCCAGTTTGTGACCAAACCACCAGAAGGTTTATTGCAAATCCAACAGACAGTTGGGCCGAGAAGCGACTGCGCTCAGATACAGAGAAGAAGAAAAAGAAAAAAACATCTCAGAGTTAAACTCTATGAAGGCTACTGAACTCCACGGAGCCGGATACAAGCGGGACTTTAGAACCAATCGGATTTACATCAAAATACAAAACTGTCAATAATAAAGCGTCAACCATCGATCACAACAGAAATATTAACGCAAAGCTGAGAATCTGCAGCTCAGAGGGTCAAATAAAGTCTTTCTAGACCTTTCCACATCACCTGATTTACATGTCAAAGCCTGGGCATGATGGGAAATGTAGTTCTGAGCAGTCCAGCAGTTTGAGCGCCTCTGGACTCATTTCTACATGTTGTACAAAACTAAAGCTCTCCTTTAATGTTTACACTTATTCAACTTTCCTCAAATATTTTAAGATATGACAGAAAACTGCATCAGTAAATATTGTCCTTTATCTCCTGTCAACCAATCAGAACGAGGCTGAAATCCCCTGATTGGCTGACCTGACTCCTCCTCCTCCAGTCTGACAACCAATCAGATTTTAGAATGAGGGGGCGGGGTCGCTGCTTCCTGCAGCTGCAGAGAAGATCTAGGAGAAACTTTGATCCCTTAACCTTCCAAATAAAGTTCATTTTCACCCCTCATCTCAACAATCTGGTGATTTTCTGCATTTTTCTTCCTGTCTGAAAAAACAAAGTTCAAAAAGAAGAAAAAGAATGACTCAAAATGATAAAACTGACCCTTAAAATCTAATAAACACATCAGAGCTCAGACAGACGGAGTCACAGCCGTTTTACGTTAATGGGGGAAAAGCTGAAGTGATGATACAGAAATAAAAAGTTTGAATTGATTTCACCGCTCAGCTCTGACAGGAAACACCTGGATTCATCCAGATGTTTGGAGGAAAAGCTGTAAACATTCAGAAACATTAAAACTGTGACGTTTTTACAAGAACAAAGTGAAACTGAAGCAGGTAAAGGTGAGCGGACAGAAGCATGAAGCAGAGACGTGCTGAGGAAACTCCGGCTTAACGGCTTCCTGGTCCAGACACACAAGCCCCGCCCACTCGCCTGACCCCGCCCCCCAGCAGCTCTGTGCTCCAATGACGAGGAGGAGGAGTCAGGCACCGAGCAGAAACAAAACTCCACCCCTCATATGGTACCATAGAAGCTGTAACCATGGAGACCAGACACAAACACGTTGGCAACATAAGCCCCGCCCCTAAGGAAGGGGGGGGCTTATTAATGAAATGTAACAGGGTGGGAGGGTGGCAGCGACGAATACTATTGGTCCTTTTTCTTCTCAGGTTCTGATGACTCCTCTTTAGGCTCCGCCTCCTCAGATGACTCCTCGTACCTGCAGAGAGGGAGCCATGTTTGATTTTACTGTGTGTGATGTCAGAATGAAGCTGAAGGTTGATGTGGAACCATCAGAAACCAGTAAAGTCATGCTGTCAGATTTAACCAACTCCGTTCATAAAGCTTCATAAAAACTGTTTAGAGATCAGACCATCTGTTCCTCCTGGCTCTGCAACATTTCATTAAATATTCATAAACCACAGCTCCCTTTTTGATTTGATGGTGGGCTCACTTCCTAATGTGCTAATGTGCTAATAGCAGAGCTAATTTTTACCATGACGCTTTAGCATTTTTGCTAACTTTTAAAATGTTTAGCGCACTTAGCTTAGCATTAATTTACTTGGTTGTTTTGTAAACTCAGTTGAGTAAAGTTTGACATCTGTGTTGAAGCTTTAGTCATCAATTTTTTATGTTTATGCTCTTATTTTGAAGTGTGTTTACACAGCAGTTCAGTTTTCTCTCCCATTTTTAAATGGAACTGAGCAAGAGGCAAGTAAGAACGAGGAGAAAAGAGGAAACAACTCATGAACAAACAGCCAGGGGCGTTAACACTTAATTAATTAGAGCAATTTCGCAGGTTCTTTTATCGCTGACAACTGTTAACACGACAGTGAGCGCCTCCACCGACCAGCAGTTGGCTCACTGTGTTCTATACGCCCACTGGTGGCGAGCTGCTGTAACTACAGTTTAATGCCTCTGTCCGAATAGAAGTGCAGCTTAAAAATAGTTTCTATAGTCAAACAGAAGTCTCCAATTAAAGTAAGAAAAGGCAGAAGGCGTCCATTCTATATGAATTATTTTTTAGCTTTTTTTGAAGGATCTCCTCCCATTCTCCACCTGTGATGCGGTGCAGCAGATTGTTTACTTTGTACCCAGAATGCATTGCTGTAGTTCTACAGTAAACAGTTGAAAATCTCCTGACGTCCAACTGCTTTCTGAATGAACGTTAATTTGACTGAATTAGCAACAGAGCTAGCAAAACTTAGCAACTAGAAAACAAAGTTTTGTTTTGATGAAGTGTAAACCACACAGGAAGATGTGTAATGACAGATTTGATCCAGATGAGGGCGATATAGCACATGTATCACAGTTGGCATCAACATGTTTGAAGTTGATGCCAAAGCATTAGCTTCGGCTAAATACCAAAAACTTTCTGTTGGTTCTGGTTTAGGATCCAAAACTCTCCGTTTTTAAACTTCATCCCTAAACGTTTGATGGCGAGACTGAAACGTTTGGACTTCTGATCCCGTCTGAGTAAACCGGGTCCGTTTTGATCCTGGAGGACTAATGGACGGGCGTTCTACCTGCCCAGGGCTCAGAGAGGCGGGGCAGTAAGGGCAGGGGGCGGGGCTTAGCTCCTACATGGAGGTGGGCAGAACACGGCGGTGTCGGGGGGAGGAGCCGGTTGCCATGGTTTCCATGGATGCAGCCAGGCTTGCAGGAGAGCCGCTGACAGTCGGGAAGGAAGTGATGCGTGGAGAGGCAGGAAGGACTTCCTCTGATGACTCGTAGCTATGGCGATGGGGAGGGTGAAATGAAGAGGTGAGGATGAGGAACAGAAGAGAAGAAGAATGTAAGATTTTTATCTTAAACTGCAAATTAATCAGAGTGAGGATGAGGATGATTAAGTGAGGAAGAGCAAACAGGAAAGAAAAGGAAAGATGGCAGCTGGATCTTCTACTCCTGAGTCCTGACCCGAAACATCAGCCTCATCGTCCAATCAGAATCCAGAAAACATCCAGACAGTCTAGCAGGAGGCGCTCCACCAGCCCAAACATGGCGGAACCGTCTGTCAGGCCAGACCCAGACGTGACAGTTTGAGCAACAGAAGTAGAACCAGAACCTCTGGGTTTCATCTGCAGGATTAAGGATCAGAAGAACCAGAGACCCGTCCAGGTTGGACAGACAGACGGATTTCGTCTGACTATGGCTGGATGGATGGACAGTCCATAGCAGAGGTCTCACTCCAGCGGCCTGCAGGACGATCTGGTGGCCCCACCGTAATATGAAAGTATTTTAGTCTGGCCCACAGGGTGAGCGGACCTCTAAAGCAAGTCCCGCCCACCGTTCCTCTCATGGCTGACATTCGGTGCTAGGCTAAGCTACACTGACTTCATGCACACTACGCCTGTAACAACAGAGCGGCTGATGATGGACCAGTCCGGTACCAGTTTCCTTCCCTGCAGTCGCCTTTCCGGTTCTTTCTACCATTAATGCCAGGATCAAACGCAGAGAAAGGCGACCGGCTGCTCGTCACCCGCCGCGCTGTTTGACAAGTAGAAGCGGTGATGGCGTCACGCGTCGAGACGTTCCGTTTTAACATAAATTTGGTTTTGTCTGACTATCTGTAACTACATCCCAGATATCTAAAAATGCTTTTTGACTAGACAAAACTACATTTTGACTATCCGGAATGGTAATTTAAGATATCTGTATTTACATTCTGACTAGTAAGAATAATAATTCAAGATTTCTTCAATTACATTTTGACGAGTCAAAATTCCTTTCAAGATATTTCAAATGACGTCACTGGATCTGTCATTTGACGGGACACATAACTGTAATTACGATTTAAGATATCTTCAACGCAATTATGACTAGTCAGAATTACAATTTTAGATCTCTGAATTAAGAATGACGTGGAAGACCCTTTGTGGTGTCCAAACAGTTGCCTGCAGGATTTTATGTTTCCTGCACAAAATTGTCAGTAAATGCCACAAATTAGAAAGAGCTCGACAATGTTGGAAATGCAGAGATAGAAAAACTTCATAAACTATAAGACTGCTTCTGATATCTGCAAAGAATTTCCTGTTTAATCATTTTGGACGAACCGAATGCACTTAAAAACAGCTTTGAAACGCTAAAATTGTTATTGTAACACCATTTTCAACATGAAAGTGCCGCATTTTCAAACATCTTTTTTCGTTTTCTCTATTTTTCATTGTTTTATTAAACTTTCAAATTGCTACATTTTGACTAGACAGAATACTAATTCAAGATATCAATAATGTCTTTCTGACTAGTTGGAATGTCAATTTAAGATATCTTAAATAGAAAAGCTGTGTAATTCAAGATATCTGTATTCAATTAGAGATATCTTAAAAGGAATTTTGACTAGTCAAAATTACAATTCAAGATATCTTTAATTTAATTTTGTCTAGTCATTATTTGCTTTTAAGATATCTATAATTTAGTTTTCACGAGTCAAAACTACATTTCTCTTATCCAAAAATACATTTAAGATA